TGCTCTGCTTTTTCGTCGTTCGATTCGGCCTTTTTAGATGCTGTAAACGCTCGCTTTTGAAGACGCGTGCGTCGTCAAGTTACTCCGCCAATGCAACTGAATTCGGACCAATAATTATGTTTATCGTATGCATCATCGAAAGTATGTTTGTGTAGCTTTTATTAAAAATGCTAGCTGCAATATATGCAACAATTTTTACGGTCTTAATGCCGCTAAATATTCATTTCGATTCAAACGATCAAATCAGAGAATTTAGACTTTCGTTATTGTTTTGCGTAAAGTCTTCCAAACAGCGGTAACAGATCGTCCTTGCTTAATTAGTCGTAAAAATTAATAAAAAGTTAATTATGCGATATCCGTGGCTTGCATTTATCGACTTTTACCGAACTTGTTTTTAACTTTTTCGCTTGCTTTTTCGGTGCTAGTAGTAGCCATTTCGCGCTCGAATGTATGACGATTCGACGGTTTTCTTTTCCTTGTTCTCAGTCCTGGAACTTCGTGAACTCTTTTTGTCCATAAATGTACGATCCATTCTTATAATATAATTTTAAGTATTATTTTATACGCTATTATTTTATACGTATGTAAAACATGCTATGCTGCAGATAGCAACTGACTAAGGCATTTCACAAGTTCAAACATTTTGAACTGGAGTTAACGATCACACTTCCGAAAAAAATATTTACGAAAGAAAAAGAAATTAATTTATTATGTCTATTGTATTCGAAAAAGGTGATAGGATAATTCTATAAAACGCTGTGCCTCCCAGGTCTTCGGCCATTTATCGGCGCATAGGTACGCGACTCCACTCTAAATGCTATAATTCAAAAAATACTTTGAATTCACTTGGGACTTTTTGTACATTAATTCTAAGATTTCAAACTATTTTTTAAAACAAAAAAAATTTTTTCGATTTTTTTAAAACTTCAAACTGGTCTACCTCCTTAATTCCTTGTATGGTCTGTCATCACACTCGAGGCTTCTTTGTAATTTTGATCCTTCAATCATGGGAATCATACTTGGGAATCACACTGCTTCGGTCATCCTGTATTTTTCCAACAGATCTGAAACTAAGAGAACTAGACTGACGAATTATAATTTTTCCATCTTTTTTTTGATAAATTTAATTAGACAACAAGACGCTTCCCTCAGGGATTTAATTTCAACACTTTTCTGCAGAAATTCCTTTAATTTATTTATTCTTGTGTCTTATTCTTACAGCTTATCAACATGTCATCAACATATATGCAGACCATTAGCATGTTTTCCGGAATAGAATACATAAGGGTCATATTTTGATGGATGCAAGCCAAATCCACGTAATTTGTGTGTGTTGCTTAATTCAATGAACCATTGGCTTCCTGCCTGTTTTAGACCATATAGCGCCTTCTTCAAATAGCACACTCGATTGCTTCTTTATAAATAAATCAATAATTCAAAATTTTGATATCCATTTTCCTGATTTCGCTATTTTTGGGCTCAATTTTAATCAGGAATTCCAAATCCTTTTCAAAATGTTGTGGAATTTCCACGAAAATATCTTCCTCTAATGTACTGTTTAAATACGCAGCTATGTCAATTTGTTCAATAAACATGTATTTTGACACTAGGGATACCATCATTCTGATTAAATTCATTCTCGTTACGGGCGAAAAGATTTCATTAAAATCGATGTCAGGTTGCTGTGCATATCCCTTCGTGACTAGACGTGCCTTGTTTTTCTTAAATTCTCTATTGTGATTTCTCTTCATGCTCAATACAAAACGGCTACCAATTACGTTTTTCGGACGCTGTACAAGCTCCCACGTCTTTTTTTCTATAATTGATTTTATTTCCGAAGACACCGCATATAACCATCCTTCCTCCTCATATAAATTTTAGGAGTCATCTGTTACAACTTCTCCTACACAAGCGCACTCAGTGATAACGAAATTTGTTTCGCTCTAATCAGTCTGATTATCTATATCATTCATGTCATCATGTGCTTTCTGGTTTGTCTGATAGCGTACTTGGTTAAAAAGCTTTCTGGGTCTCCCTCTCAATCCAGTTTGTTATATACGGGGACTGCCGCGACCCCTTTTTGGAGTTTCTTTTGAAGCATTCTCTTCGTGACTCTCATTGTCTGAATTATTCTTGTCTTCATCCTGTCCTTGTCCTGTCCTTGTCCTCATCCTTAGGTCAACTGGATTATTCTTGATTACTTCATCATCGTACGTAGTATTATAACTATCACCGGCTTTATTTTCTATATTTTGATCTTCGGGGAAAGTATTCTGAAAATTGTTAGTTCCATGATACTTGGGCATTAAGAATTTTACATTTCGTGTAATTTCCATACGTTTGCATTCAGGTAGCCAAATCTTGTATCTTTTAACTTCATCACTATATCCGAGGAAGATATATTTTTAGGATTTGAGCATGAATTTACCACTTTTCATCCCTTGCTTTAACATGTAGTCTTCGTATCCAAACACGGGTCATTTTAAAGTATTTGACATTTGGTAATTTATTATGTTATACCTCAAACGGCATTTTGCCTCCCAAACTGGACAACGGTTCCTAATATAATTGGCTGTGATACTGCCTCGGCCCAGAAACATGAAGATAGATTCGCCTGCATGAGTAGGCACCTTGCCATCTCTATCAACGTGCAGTTTTCCTCTCGCTGACTCCATTTTGTTCTGAGCAATATGCAACTGTAAGACGTCTTTATTTATGCCGCATTTATTTAAATACTCTTCAAATTCCTGTTTAATATACTCGTACTTTCTGTTTAATATACCGTTGTCGCTTTGTAGACTTTGGATGCGTTTCTCAGTGTGAGTCTCGATTTTGGCCTTGAATTTTAGGAATTGTTGAAAAGCTTCATTCTTCCTTTTTATAAAATAGCCTGTGAATCTAGAATAGTTATCAGTAAATGTTATAAAATATTTCGATCCTCCGAGAGATTCGGTCCTCATTGAGTCGCATATATCTATGTGAATAATGTCAATAACTACTTCTGCTTGACTTTTTTGAGAAAGAAGCACGGGTCATTTTTTTTTTTAGGTAGATGTCACATTTTAATTTGATGTCCTCGAGCTTTAAGCTCGGTATAATACCTTGATGATTCAGTTGAATAATATCCTTCGTGTTCCATTGCTTGATGCCACTTCTCTAAATCGTTAAGGTTATGTGTTACTTAACTTCTGAGACAAAATTATCACGTAAATAATATAAATCTCCAATTTTGTCCACTCGTTCATTCTGACTTAAAACTGTAACTTTAGTTAAATATAACTTTCCTTGTTACCTTTTAGCTTTGGTACCTTTTGTTACCTTGTTAAATATAACTTTCATATCCTTTTCTGTTATTTTACTAACGGATAGTAAATTCATTCTTACATAAATCTGGCACATATAGCACTTCTTCAATGTTTAAATTATTTACACATCCTTGGTTACCTGTCGCCTTCAACCGGACTTTATCTTTAGCTTGGATTTTTGCAGACTTACCATTTGCCAAGCTTAATCTTTTTACATTGCATTTCATCATTCCTTCCAATTTCCCTCATTGCTAATGTGACTCGTGCATTATCCTAGCATCATAGTGAACTTTTATTGGTAACTCTGTCCTCCATAGTATTGCACATATGTCTATCTCTCGCCGTTGTCGTAAGTAATGTATACTTTTCCTCTACTCGACCAGGTTGATGATTAAATTTCCCTTTAACTCTACAATCGATTACGTTATGTCCTATCTTGTAGCATCGATAGCATCTTATTTTAGTATTATCAGGCTTATTTAGCTGAAATCTTGTTTGTCTCTTATCTAATTTGTGTGTGGCTATGTTCGCTCCTGATATGAGTACATTATCTGGATCCCCTTTTCTAATATCACTTTGTTCTATTTTTATTCTCAATGTTTCAGAATTAGGCAATTCGTCGCGCAATACGATGGCACATCTAAAGTTCTCAAAACTGGCCGACAAACTGTATAATAATATTACTACTAACAGGTCTTCATGGATTTCGACTTCCATATTCTGCAATCTATCGACAGTATCGAAGAATTTTCTGATATAATCTGGAATATTCTCTGTCTTCGACATTTTATTTAATATGTTTTATTAACATTGTTTCAACAACATCAATTGTTTTATTAACATTGCCTTTTTGGTAAATCCTTTCGATTGATATGTTTCGCTTAGCTTTAACCAGATATCTCTTGCAGTTCTACAATTTTTCATCACCTTCATTTGCGAGGAAGATATGGCCAGTTCTAGTTCTGATCGAATCTCTTCATTTTTCTCGAACCAGGTCTTATATGCTACTAACTCTTCCGGCCTATCATCTTCATTGATCTGAGGTTCTTTGATACTATCGTCAGCATAAACCCATAATTTCTTTTTCCGTAAAGAGTGTACGCATATGAATCGCATATGAATCATGATTCATAGTTATCTCTCGCTAGCAATTCTATTTTTGTTTCCATATTCGTATTCACCTATTTGTTCAACATTAAGTGGAAGAATTAATCAACACGTGGATGTTTCTGGGCCCATAATTTATTGGATTGAGATTATATGAAATGAGCTTCTTTCGTAAAGTATATGTACACACGTGTTACGTCCAGACCCCGGAATTATTACTTAAGGGTTGAAGGGATGGGGCAAGAAAAGACGCGCCGAATATCCTGTCGCAGGTGATCGCTCTGAAGCGTGCCTGCGAGTCGAACGCACCGTATAGATCAGCCGATACGGATCAACATCTTGAAAAAGACGCTATGACTCCGACTGAATGATGTACGTCGGTTAATTTAGGCAAGAGAATTTAATCTCTTTTGCCTGGAATAGGACCATATGCGATCCCCGAGAACGGGCGGGAACGAGCGTGACGAGAGGGTTTAATTACGAATGAATAAATTAATTTATTGTTAAAGTAAACATTTAATTAATTAATGTGAAACGAACAAAATACAAAATTAAAACACAAAATATTTAACATAAAGGAGAAATAGTACGCATAGTGATTACCCGGAGAGATAACGATTAATATTCTTTCGAATGGGCAGATGAGAGTGGAAAAGAATAAAATTGCATGTAAGTGTAGTACGCGGGTGTTACAAAAGTGCGGAGGTCGTCGGGCATTCAGTTCGGGGTAAGACTCTACGTTAAAATATTTAGGGCCATGCCCGGTTTTTACAATATAAGTAAATAAAAAAAAGAATAGAATAATTTACATAAACATTTATGTAAGTGTAAAAGTGTTAAATCTTAAACACGGTAGGATCAGAAAGGTAAGTAAGAGAGAGGGGAGTAAGAGGAAACGATCGGTATTTAAGTGGTGATGGGTAGATCATATTAATCCATGCGACTTACTACTGCGATGATTACAAAGAAATGTAGTTGCAGGTGGATCGAAGACAAGTGGGGGAGTCGAGCCAGCGGTTCCCCACAAGGTGTTCCTGGGGTCTCACAGGGAAGTAAAAAAAGCACGGACGCACAAAAGGAACACTCCCGCTCGAATATAATAAAGTGATGATTAAAAGAAGTTACTGATTTATTTTAATTTATCCGTTCCGATATTAAAATTTTAATAACTAAATTTGCGGTTATTTCGGAGAGAATCGACAAAGCTAAACCAAGAGTAAAAGCGAACGCGAACGAAGATGAATACACATGTATGTCCGTAAAAAGGTTTAAGATTGCTACGTCAAAAAAATTAACGGATCAAAGCGCGTGAAGACTGCCGGTCAAAAAGCAAGTGCAAAGTGCGTTTCCTCCGGAGGATCTTAGTAAAAAGCTGTCGCGGGGTGGAGTTTCGGTTCGAAATTAGGAGTATCTCGCGGGTCTTTAATGAATAGGAATTAGCGAGTCATTAAGGATGTGGGGGGAGTTAGCCTATCGTAGTTCTGAATTTTGAAAAAAAAGAGTCTAATTGATACGGGAAGAACTTTTAAGGAGGATAGTTAGATAGTGGGATAATTTGAACCTCTATTAACATATGGCATTATTTAAATATTTGTGGCTGAATGAGTGGTCGGCGGATTAAATAACTGACGCCACGAAGGCGGCTATTCAAGTACGGAGCCTGCCTTGAAAGAAAACAGATACCTATTTTGATAATTTATGATTTTCCGTCGTCGCCAGTGCACTAAGAGTTTCTTTGCGTTCGACATATGACTGTCAAATATTATTTTAGTTTAGTTGCAATTCAATCGAGTTTTATAGTTTATTTATTAGTTCGAAAAGCGAGCCCTCAACAGTCTGAGGTTCACGTGTTCGACAGACTGGTGTCCATGGAGTTTGAGCTCGTAAAAATTATTTTAGTTTAGTATTCAGCATGATTTTTTTATGCTGTATCGGAGCTCGCCCATTCGCTCCGAAAAGAGAGAAGAATTGTGAAGTCCATCGGACGTAACACACATTTAATGATGAAACAGAACGATACAAAGATATATGAAATACAAGGAATGAAAAAAACTGTATAACGACGTAATATAAAGAAAAAAAATATGGAAATATAAAAGGGAACTTCCTGTCTCGTTGTACATTGTTTACGAGGAACAGCCCATAGAAAAAAGGGAAGGAGAATAAGATCGAACGACATGCTATCGATAGGTCGCAGCCGACAATGTTAAGCCTACCAATGTTAAAGCCTATTCACGTTGTCAAATTATTGTTGAATTTCCAAATATAGATATATATATAGATATATATATATATATATATATATATAATAATATAATAATAATAATATAATATAATAACACACACACACACACACACACACACACACACACACACACACATACATATATTATTATATTATTATTTATTATATTTGACCATATATTATTATTATTATTATTATTATATTTGACCATTATGTACCACTAAATACGACTGTGATCTCAATACTTGATAATATGTATTATATAATATTGCAATAAAATATAAACAATTAATAAAAATTAATATAATTAATAAATTAATGTAACAATTAATATAAATATTTATATGTTGCATTACATGATAAAAATTCTCATATTGTAAAGTCTTCTAATTAAAAAAAAAGACAAAACAGAAGAGAAAACGAGAAAAGGAAGAAAGCACGAGAGTAAGAGGAGTGAAAGAGTAAGAGAAAGTATGAGAAAGTCAGAAAATAAGCACAAGAATTAATTTTATAATAATATAGGCAAGAAAGAGAGAAAGAAAAAAGATATGAAAACGTGACACTTGAATTAGTAATGATATACTTTATAGAACGTTTGTGCATACTGTATGAAACATGAGAAGTAAGAAGACAAATCGAGACATAAATATATAACAATACAATTTTATATAAGTCATTCTTAACGTCGAATTTGAGATGGATGAACATATCTGTCTTAAAAAATATGTATAATATATGTAAAGATAACAATAAAAGCAATCTTTATTCGGATATAACTGGATATTTGTGCTAATATTTCTTTAGTGATTTTTAGGGCCCGGATGTTCGTGATATTTTTCGCCGCGCGCGGAGCACCACTGCGTGTGAGTGAGTCAAATGCTCGCTAAAGTGAGATAGTAACATTTCTCAAAGAAACCCGATGCTTAACTCGACGTAATCCGAATTAATGATTTTGGTTAGCGCGCGGTCTATTGAACGTAAACAAAATACAGAAAACAATATGTTTAAATTTTATTAGAAATACAACTATTTTAAAATCATATTCTTTTTTAAGTCTTAAAATATAACATACATTAAATGAAACAAATACAATATATTGAAAGTAAATAATACAATATTCAAAAATATCAAAAAAGATAAAAAGTAATATTGCTATCGAGTAATATTGCTATCTCACTTTAGCGAGCTCACCGACTCACTCGCATGCAGCAGTGCTCCGCGCGCGACACGAGAAATCGCACGAACATCCAGGGCCTAGTGATTTTACACACTATTCAAATTCGTTAAATTGCATGCAGAATAAATTTTCAGTTTTGAAAAATTCTAAGGAAAGAAGAGCAGTAATATCGATATTAAATTGATCAATTTAATAATAATGTTAACTAGCATCTATTGTAAAATAATGTAAATAATAAACTTTCCCTCTTGAAAAACTGTTAAAAGAATTTATTAGGTACACAGATCGATATACTTAAAAATGATATTTAAAGTCACACAAGACATATTAGCATGAATATCCAGCTATAATCAAATAAAGCTTGTTTTTAATTATGTTTTCACATGTCGATTAATATTTTCTTATTATATGTAATAAATATTTCAAATATTGATAAGTAAAACAGATGTATGTTATCAGTGTAACTATTCAACAATTATATATAATAAAAGTTTAATATATCCAAAAATATATGCAGTAATGATTTAATATACACTCTGTAGAGTGTATATAATTAAACTAAGAAGATATTATATTTTAAATAATTCTATTAGAATATATTGTTTTTATTCACTTCCTTGTTTTCTTTTTTATTTATATTATATTTAGTTAAATAAAAAAT